TCGTGTTCTTGGACTCAGTTGATCGTGAATCCTTTATCAGTTTACTCTCTCGCAATAGAATGCTGAAGAAGTATGTGAACATACTGATTTCACTCTACTCACATAACTCCGGTAGCGTAAGGGTCTACGGCGAGCTGAGTAGGTCTTTCGTGACTAGCAGCCATGTTTGTCGTGGGTGTCCTCTCTCGCTATTCCTGTTCAATTTCGTCATAGACGAATTACTGGAGAACACACTAAGTGGTCTCCAAAATGTAGGTATTGAATGGGCAGCTGGAGAAAAGCTGTGCAATTTGGAGTGCGCCGACGACAATGTTTGTTTCTTCGAATGTGTGGAGGATGCACAAAGAACATTTGACAGATTAGCAAGTTCTGTCGCTCCGTTCGGCATGTGCTTTGCCCCTTCAAAGTGCAAAGTAACGCTATAAGACTGGGTGTCGCCGAGTTCTGTCCTGAAACTAGACGGTCAGGAATATGGTGAAGTTGATTGCTTCTCGTACTTAGGTAGCTGCGTGACCAACGACGGTAGCGCATCAACGGAGATANTGCACAAAGAGCACTTGACAGAATATCAAGTTCTATCGCTGCGTTCGGCATGTGCTCTGCACCTTCAAATTGCAAGTGATGTTACAAGACTGGGTGCCACCAAGTTCTGTTCGGAAACTAGACGGTCAGGAAATAGCTGAAGTTGACTGCTTCTCGTACTTAGGTAGCTGCGTGAACAACGACGGTAGTGCATCGAAGGATATAACCGCCCGTATTTCCAAGGCTCGAGCAGTGTACGCAGGACCAGAACACCTGTGGCGTGTCACTAGAGTTGAAAAGTTGCGTGTGCTGCGCCACTGTACGATCAGTTCTGCGTTACGGTTGTGATACCTTGTATTTGCGGGTAGAAGACACCCGTCGTTTGTCAGTGTTCGACAATCGATGCTTATGCCTAGGTTGGATGGATTGGGCGGGTTAGTAAGAAGTAAGTCGTCTGGTGTTTGGAAATACATCAAACAAGAACTCGCTATCTCATCGAATCTAGCTGAGTAGGATCCGTTGGTTAGGACACGTTTTGCGTATGTCCGACGGTCGCCTACCGCAGCGCGCCTTGTTTGCAGTGGCTGTTGCAGGTTGGATAAAGCCACATGGGGGCCAGCAGATGACGTGGAGACGATGCATGAAGTAATTATTAGAGCGATTAGGTAGAGTAGGTGTTTCTCGTCTTCCGGGTTGGGGTCCAAAAGACTCCGAAACCGCATGGTTGGAGACACTGAAGTCATGGTTGCGCAACGACAGCAATGGTTATTCTGCTAAACGCCTTAAGGTGATGAACTAGGGAAGAGTAAATGCTCTAAGCATTCGCTGTTTAATTACGGATTTGGACAACTTAGGCCCTAAGGTTTGAAGTGCTGGCACGTACTAAGCTCCTGAATGATAGCTTTAGTACTGAGCCACGTGACATCCATATCGTCTATCGCCAAATTTGATGGCTCGCTTGGACAGACAATGCGAACCGGTACACTGAAATTTTCGTTGCTTGAACTACATGATCGCCGCACGTTTCGCTCCCCCGTACTGTAAAATTCAGCTACTGTTATTCAAAAGGACCAACTTAGGGTAAACTTTCAATTTCCTATAGGAAACCTAATCGGAAAAATTGTGGCATCTGTCTGACATATACCTGTTCCCGAATGACCCAGCGTACTTGATGAGATTTCCGCTAGTTTTTTTTCTTATGGTTCAGAGATCGGGTTGTTAATTGCGGTACGTTAAACACATGATTTTTGACTTACGAATGGGACACGTTTGGCGGAATAACGGGATTTTCCATGCGGAGATTTAATGCGAAGTACCAGCTGGTTATTGTGCGAACTGATGAGACTAATAACCCGAGAGGTTGAGGCGTCTTGGATTTCTCTTCATATGGGCTTTTTACCGTCCAGTAGAACCAAACTAATTTTGGACATTCATGTCCCCCCCCCAAATTCATTCCCTAAATATTATTTTTATTTTTCCTGGTTCTGTGGTTTCACCATTTTCGCCCCTTTCAACTTACCGCACAGTCCAATCTTGTACCATTCTACGTACCTCTGGGCCACTTGGATTTTCTTTTGGAATGGGAAATGGAAGGCAATCAATCAGACGGACAAGCTGTCCTCGGTCGTGGCCGATGTGTGCGTGGATTCTTGGCCGGTGCAACCAATCCGCTTTTGCGGACGCACAAACAGCTCGCGGAGGTGATTGTTATGACATTGCCGCCTTCCGATGGTTTGTCCGATCCTCGAGTGAATCAGTCATCTGGCGAATTAACCAGTCTGTTCGAAAAGAATTTGAAGCCTCTGGAATCGGGCAACGGAAGCTCTGAAGGGGCAGAAAAACAGCAGTCAACTGTTCCCAAACCTCCAGTTAGTCAATCACGTGGCTTTACTTTGGTATGTTCTTATTTTCTTTCCTACTGATGTTAAAAAAGTGACTGGAAAAATTCACTGTTTGCTTGTGCTCGCGCGCATAGTGCAAAAGATCTTCCCCTGCTTCTCCCACCGTCTAATGAGATAGACTAGGAGGGGTTTATAAACAGTTGTCAGTCTCCTTCAGTGACCCAAAAAAGTAATAAATCCTTTTTCTTACACCACAACGGCTACTTTCATTTTCTACTATTCTCCAGCCTGATCATCTTATCCAGCAGTTTTCATCTCTTGCCGACATTTCCGCAAACACTGGGAATTTTACCTCCGCTGATGATAAGTTCTTTACACTCATTGTGATATATCGAAACGTTACAATAAACGTTTAACAACTCAGTGTACGCCTCCATTCTCCTTTGCAATATGTATATATATATATATATATAGCGATTTACAGAGTTACTTCTCTTTTTACTATCATTTGATTTCGGAGTTTATCCACCACTTCAGGAAAACTGTTGTTCGGTTGATGGTATTTAGTACCAAGGCTGCTTTTTCATCTGTAGTCCGTCGCCTATCAGGGTCACTTTCTGTTCACTAGCAGGAGTAAAATTTTGTACTGTAAATCACCGCATTGCTGTTTTGTTTGTATCTATCAACTAAACATAGTTGGGATGTCGTAGCTGAATTCAAAGCAAATGACTTCTGATAACAGTCTGTGTCATGTGATCAAGTGGCAGGTCTTCGTAATTTTTAATGTTAGTCGGGTGTGTGATTTCTTGTATAGGCAGCTTGTGACCTTTCTGGTTCATAAAACAAACAAACAACTTGATGTCTATTACAACAATGAGTCCATTTTATTCTGGTGCAGCCATTAGTTTAGGGGGTCGGGACAGTCATACGTCGTTTCATGGATGCTCCTGCACACACAGTTGGTACTATCTGGCTCGAAGCGGCTTTTACACCTAGAAGTCTCGTTTTTCAGTAGAAAATATCCTGTTTTGTGCCATCCCAATCGATAACTAGATGTTCACATTTGCCTCCTGTCATAGTTTAAAACCATTATTTTCTCATGAGACCGTGTGTAGCTAACAGTTGTTCTGCTGAAATCCGTAGGTATAAGAGTTTGGTGTTCATTCAAGGAAACGAACAGTTTATGTTCTAGTGCTTGGACTGGCGGAGCACATCGGAAAGGTAGATGACATCAAGGATCCAATCATACCAACTGCCTCTATCAAAACGAAGGAACGACAAAATACACTCGAAAACACGAAGTACTTCAATAGCGTAGTTAAATCGATATCTTAAAATAATCCAGTTTTTTTAACATTTTCAACAACATTATAAACTGTAATCGGTTTTGTTTCCCGAAAAGACATCACACCGTTTTCCTCCTTCTCCGAAGCGACCGAACACTATATCAGGGGATCTCGCGGATGATCGTACGGAGGCAATTTTGAAACAGCTTCTCACCCGTATGTCGAGCAATACGCATTGAAATTCTGTGTATTTTTTAGCAACAGAGAAAAGTGCGATGACTTCCAGCAATTGATTAACGTCGCTTTTCTTACTGTCTCCATAATTCTGCCTAGCCCAAACGGACCTCTCAGATCATTCGGGTTAATGCTGCCGATCCGGCTTCCAGCGATTCTCGCAACATGCCCACACCCCTTGCCCAAGCCTTGCAACTGAGTCGTATGGATCGACTATTTGTGGACGAACTGGTCCGTACTGTAGTCCTTTGGTACCAGGCTAAAACGCATCTTATGGATTCAACTGTTTTACCGAGTGATGTCGACCTCGGTGAATTACTGTCCCGCGACGAGAACGTTAATTTAATCGATCGGTATTTGTCTGGATTGACCCCAGCCCAAAGAACCGTGCTAATGCGTTTTCCAAGTAAGAAATGTTTTTTTCCAGTAGATGCGTATCTACTTTTTCACAACACAGTGCTACTGGGTTGTGTATTTGTTTTACCCATTACCATTACTCTTGTGCATTGCGATCAGTTCTTGTGCTCCTCGTATAAATACTTTCTCACTCTAGTTCGATTCTACCAGCTTGAATTTTTGTAATCTAGTAGTACTTTCTCCCGACGCTTGTTACCCTCCCAACTAGTCCAGATCACATCACTATAGTATGCTGGATGATAATTTCAATCATGCTCTTGTCATATAACCGCGGATGTTTTTGAGGGATTTCAGTTTCCCAAGTATGCTCTCTTATGACCATGCTTGCGGTAGTTCTTTGCGATTTTACGCGGGCTTGCTTACATTTCACTTAGATACATTCACTTAGACAAAAAAATTTTAAGCCAGGTAACTATTGACTGGTGTAAATGTAATAATTCCAGTCCTTTGGTTGACCAACTTTTGAGATTCATTTTTACTCAGGTGAAAAATCACAAACTAATATTTTTAGTCGATCTAGTGTGTAGCTAAACTTGCCAATGGTGTTTCGAGGAGAAACCATCTTCACTCATTTATAAGGTGGATGAATTCCGTTTAACTTTACGTTACTCCCATTCATTTGATCATTGCGCTTTTGGCATGTTACGATTTTGTTTGCCTGCTTCTCTTACAAAATGACCACAACCCCTTTGATATGGTTATGAGCGCAACATATTTTTTCGTTTTCTCTTGTACTTCATTCACGATATCGCTTAGAACGTATGCTTTGCACGACGATTTCGACCGAAGCTTTCAACGTCAAGATTGAGCATGTGTCATTACAAACTAGGTAGATCGATCCCCATTGGTCCGATTTCCTTAGTGGTTTTAGAGAACCTTATCTTTGTTTTAGGTACGAATCGCTCTTTACGTTCAAAATTCAATCGAACGGTGTTTTCAATCCTTTCTATTGCCTGTGCAAACCGATCCCCATTTGGTAGAACACGTGCATATTTTGCCCTTCCCGAAACCTTTTCTTTATCGTTCGACGCTAGCAAAATCCGGTGTTAGCTATGTACGACCGCGACTTGTGTGAATCAAGGTAACCAGAATATACAGTTTCGAGAACTGATACACATCCCGTGCTCCAGTGTCACATTCAGTTCGATCGCACGTTCTCTGCTCCAGTGAGAACATAGCTTCGTTTTGCAGTTTGGTATTTCCTGTTTTATTATGTCTTCAGTCGTCCTAGTGAGATAAGATTTCGTTAGACAACATTCCGGGGCGGATATATTAGTTCTCCTGGATCACTTCCGATCTATCCGATTGGTAGTTGTCATGTTCAGTTTTTGGGGCGCTATTGGTGGAAAACGGTACTACTCGACCGGAACGGTGTTGTAAGCTTATAGCTATTCATCTGAACGCGCTATTGCATCTTCTATGGGATAGATGTGGCATTGTATGCTAGATATTTTCACCAACCAGCTTTGAATTCCGTTCAACGCATGTCCGCTTTCTCCTTGTGTCTCGTTTACCTCCAAAGCCGCTTCCATTTTGGATACGTGGATTCGACAGCAGTTCCAAACATACCTGCGGGCTCTGCTTCTCACTGCGGACGGTTATAGTGAGTGTTTCAATTGATCTTTTACCATATCTCTAGCGGACAAAGTTCGAATCGAATGTTTGTTTCACATATACAGTATTTTCCTAGTCAGGTTGCGAGGACTTAACTCTGTGTTTCTCATACACTAAGTATGGACCTAGTTCTCTGATCAGTTTATGTTTACATGTGTGGCTGGATCCGGGACGCGCTTCACTTTTGTACTGCTAAAAGTCGGTTCAAGCTGCTCGTCGTTTTGATGCTATTGTGATCGCATTGAGTGTCATCATCCAGCACGTTCTCCTTGACTAAATTTTCGTCAACATTATATATATATATATTGAACCAGATGAAGTGATGGTCTCTTTCGATGTGACCTCACTGTTCACCAATATACCGAAGCAAATGGCCATCGAAATTATCCGACACTTGTTGCAAAACGACCAAAATTTACAATTAAGAACGAAACTTTCTGTGGACGAAATAGTGAAACTCGTAGAACTCTGTATGGAAACCTATTTCCAATTCGACGGGAAGGTGTACCAGCAGATACGAGGAACTCCAATGGGTTCGCCACTCTCAGGTTTGCTTGCGGATGCGGTTATGAAACATTTCGAAGCCAAAGCCTTTGAAATCCTACAACCTGTGGATACGCTACGTGGATGATACATTCGTCATACTCAGAACCTCCACAGTAGATCAGTTCCACCAAATGATCAACGAGCAGGTGCCCGGTATCAACTTCACACGAGAGGAAGAAAAAGATG